ATTGAGGGAGGGCGGGAAGTGCTCTTTAAACTAGGTAAGACACATCATTTAATTGAGTGGATGGTAGCAAAATAACTATTAATATCTTTATTATAATGGATTCTCGCAAAGTAACGCCTGATTCTATCTATTAACTTTTATACATCCTCCGTCCGGACTCAGACAGACAAGTCTTTCATAGCACAACCTTAGTTATAGCTTAGGATCAAAGAGTTCTATCAAAGCAAAAACAAAGAAATGAATAAAATATTCATATATTTTGAAATCCATTTAAATAATTCCCCATTTTTAACCGTGTTCTAAAAATTAGGAGGCTGTTCTTTTTATAGGTATACTTATTTATTTCAAAGGAGGTCCTATAAAAAAGCGAAAAAAAAATTACAGCCGATCCCACACAAAACATTAAATAAAAAGAAAAAACCACAAGCTATTAAGTAGTACTTGATTCCACCGAGTCAAACCCACAACAAAATCCCAAAAAATATACAAAATTTGTCACACACAAAGTTCAAAAACTTTATTAAACTAAGTTTGTATAAAAAGGGTTATTATAATATTAAGGAATTTATGGATGATAATAACCCCTGGGAAGGGTGATTCTAATTTGCTATTTCTAATTTGTTTTGTGTCGCATGATTGTAAGATATTATTTGAAAAAAAAAATAGTCCCGCTGGGTTTTTTTGCGAACCAGTGGTAAATGAAAAAAGTGACTTTCAATAAGTATTGTTTATAATAAAATAAAAAAGTTTCCGTTTCTGTTTCACGTATTATGACCACATCATACACATATTGTAGGTAATACATCAAAAACTAATAAAATAAGTCGGTCGGTTGGTTCTTACTTTTCCTTTTTCTCATTATAGTTATCATGTCATATATCTATATCATGATAAGATAGTTCTTGTTGAGGTTTCCTTTACGTATCTCCACATTAATTGTAAACTTTTTGATTAACTAATAAAACAATGAAATAATAAAACTTAACGCACAGAATAATAAGTATAATATCGGAATATAAGCAGTTATTTCATTAGTTCAGATCTTAAAATTTTCTCAAAGCATCAAAAATTGAAGCTTATGCGTCGTACCTATATAGATATGCTGAACAGTTCAGCACACAGGTATACGGCTATTATAAGTTCAGCTTAAGGCTATAGTTGTAGTTATGCTATATAATGTTGAATATTCCGACTTTAAAATCTATCAAAAGCACCAATAGAAATGATTTTCTTTTTGGATTCTGTTGTTATTCTTTTTATATTTCTTCCTTTTATAACCTTCAAGAAAATAACTTAACTTCAAGAAAATAAGATAATACCAACTTTGAGCAAAATTTTTGAAAAAAAATATTTTATATCAGATGACAAGTTTTTATAAAAATAAATTGCTCCATACAAGTCAATTTGGTTTTACAAGGGGTCGGTCGACAACCGATGCCGGAGTTGAGCTTATAAAACATATTTTTGTGCATGGGAGAATTCAGAGGATGCTTTGGGTATATTTTGTGAACTTTCCAAGACCTTCGTCTGTGTTCACCATGAGAAAGAGAAAAATCAGGAAGCTACAGTACTATGGTGTCAAGAACACAGCGTTTAAACTAGTTATTTCATATTTAAGTAATAGAGTGCAAAAAGTTATTATCAATGGTAAAAGATCTTCCAGATGGCCCGAATAGATGGGTGTACCTCAGAGCTCAATTCTTAGTCCATTCCTATTTTTAGTGTATATTAATGACTTACCTTCACTTGTAATCATGATATAGTATTATTTGCTGATAATACTTCCTTGATTTTTAAACTTAAACATCAATCATTTAAATGTGACGAAGTTAATAATGCTGTATCGAAATTAGTGCATTGGTTTAACGTTAATAATCTACATTTATATGATAATAAAACTAAATGTATTAAATTTAATAAGTAAGTAAATTTTTTAAGTTTTAAAAAGGGAAAGAACTGAGTCCTGTTGAATCCTCTGTTTTTATTGGCATCACTCTCGACGCTAAGCTTCAGTGGGGCCATTTTTTGGACATTGTAAAATTTATTTTAAAAAAAAAGTCCCGCTGGGTTTCTTGCTGGTTCTTTCCAGGACAGAGGTTTCTTTTCGAACCAAAATTGACCGAAAAAAACCGAAAAATTGACTTTCAATAAGAATTACTTGTAATCTATACTGAATAAAAAATTGTTCTATTCTATTCTATTCTAATAGAGTCTGACAACGCATTTGCAAATTCTCTGGCGCTGCGTTTGTTCTTGTGCCGTGCAATTAAGTACCTGTCTAAGTATATCATCATTCATCATTCAATAATTAAATTATTATTTCTTATCCCAAAAGTACACTGTTTATATAGATAAAATAGTTAATTCAATAAATAATCATACATACAATACAACCGGGGACGGAGGCTCCTTTTAAGAAGAGTAACTTGTTAGGAGGGAGTGTTAGGAGATTCCACTATTCCACAGCACTAAGATTACTGTTTGCAATATGTTAATACAATATACTAGGTAATTTTTTTTATCGTCTGGAAAAAATAGGGTGTTGCAGGTGAACGGAATGGAAGCATATGCCACTGATATCTTACAATTTTTATTTTTATTTTGCATTAACATATTATGAAATTGATCTATCAATAAATGCTACTGATGCTAAGATGCGTGTTAGTATTTCATAAATTATCTCATTTTTCACAACAGAGCCCTAGTATTATAACAGCTCTTATTCAGTTTCCATGTAAAATTTTATTTTTTAGTTTTAACTTATTTTGCAGTTATTGATTTAGTTGATTATTATTTATGTCTTTGTTAATAACTTGCCACCATACTATTCCAGAAGGAATCGGCGCATGAGTACCGAAAACAATCCCACCTCAATTTTTTTGTTCAAATTGTCCTCCCGATGATATGAATATATGTTGTTTTGTTGCGATTTTTACAATTGCAGTGAATTGTTATTTTCAAACGGGACAATATATTAATAGAACCTATTTTACTTGTATTTCATCATAAAGTAAATTTTATATATTCTTTGATAATTACAAATAAAAAAGATGCTGTGACTTTTTACGATAAGATTAATATGTTCGGAGTTATGAATTTTAAAAGGTTTGGAAAATCTCAAATTCTTGAGACCTAGAAGTAATACGTAAGTACCATTATTTATTCTGTGGTAATACTTCAGACTTACAATGCTTTAGACATATTAAAAATACATAAAGAAAAAGAATAAAATACAAAAAAATGTTTTTATACGTTTGATAAAATACTCCTGAACTATATCCCGAAAACAGTAAATTCGCAAGAGACTAATGTAATGGTGTGTGGTTGCATTCCTTTTCTGCCTCGCAGTTCTCTCAACTGTTTCTGGGGCTAACCATCAGAGCATGTTCCGGTCTGAAGGATATAAAGAGAGCCAGTACAATTACAGGCTGTGAGGCGTTCTTTTTAAGTCCTCAAAGGTGACAACCCACCTGTACCTTTCTTTTGCAGGTCTGCAAGTCTCCAGGAGCCGCAGTAGTCACTTACAGTTGGACTGTAATTCCACCGAATATTTAATTAATTAAATGATCTAAAATATTCGTAGTATTTTTATATAAAAAAATTTCTAACGTATGGATAATGCGTTTCAAATTATGAATTTATTTAGTTTAACAATGGCAATAATAAAATGTAATTAAAGCTCCGTAGGGGTGATCATGATCACACGGTTCCATTTAAGACAAGAGGTCATTCACATAGCCTCCGCGTTAAAGCCTGAGTCGTTAAATATATGTACTATGTACCGTTACTCATTATTTATTCGTTTACAGCCAAATGTTAAACTATATATTCATTATTAGTTAAAAAGTATAAAAAACCTAATATGTAACATTGAATTATATTGAAGGACTTACGAACATAGTACATAATTTTCAATGATATATAAGTAAATTATTTCCAAGGGTTGTTTAATATTATTAAAAGTGACTGATACTGGGATAATTTTAAACAAATGCTCCATTTATCTTAGTGATATATTATTTTTTAAATAATTCTTCAATGGTATGTATAATGCAATGCGTATATACAAATACGTTGGAAATAATGTTATGCACCCTCCAAAGTACAACATTTTTATTTTGCACGACCACGAATCGAGGCGATCGGCTTCTCTGCGAATGACGTCAAGTAGAATGAAGTTGGTACGCATGCTACGTCAGTAACACGCGCTGCGCCTGCGCGTTTGACGTTTATTACGGCGGTGGTGCAGTCCTGATCCGATTAACAACGTCAGTTTTATCTTATTATTTAATAACCATAATATTAATAATTGTTCAAAAGTTTTTGCTGTATTGCTTGATTTGATACTTTGCAAGATATTCTATAATTAGGTACTAAGTTTTTGTGATGTTGGTCTTTTGTGCTTGTTGAAATTTTAGTAATTCTGTAATAAAATACGGAAATTACTTGTACCTAGACAGATGTCTTATTTAAGTTAATTTTTACACAACATAAAGATCAAAATCTCAGAACGTCTCGGTCGTAGTATAACTAATCCCGTTCTATTTACGTCACGTTCCTGGTGTTCCCCTCCACTTGCAGCTAATTTCACTTCTTTATAGTTTGTTTCGGGATCGGGCGTCTCTCTCGACCGCGCCTTGCTTATTCAACCGAAGCGGCCAACAAATCCCGATATTAGGATCGGGAATTCGGGATAGCGCGCTCGCAGCTGTCAAATCAAGCAATACAAAGTTTACCGATCGGTTTTAATTTAATCCTGTTTTTATTTAACATTGCAGTGTCTTTACTTGTGTTTGTCACGTGCAAAAACAATGTGAAAAGTGGTTGTTAAAGATTTCTTAGTAACTTGTATCCTTTCTGACTTGAAATCTTCATCACGCAAAATGTGAGGGGGTGTTCTTCGAAGTGTTGAAGTGTAAAGTGATGAATATATTTGGTATGAACAGTTTGTAGTGCGTCATCAAATCGAACGTTCAAAAAGGATACATTGAGAAAAGAAAATGCGGATCAAGAACTTTACAGATTTTCGCCCTAATGGTAATAGTATAAATTTATATACACTCATGGAATACATTTTCTTTATTAAATTAATTTGATCGTAATACGCTGGCCATATGGTACCCACTTTAAAGCGCATCGTTAATACAAATTAAACAAGGGTAGACGTATACTCACAGCGATGACGACAGCTCCGACTCGGCCGGATGCATTGGAAATTGCATTGGATTATTGGTCTTAAATATTGATTAAAAGGCACTCGCCTCATATGGTTTCAAACCAATATTATGAACCTGAATACGCAATGCAACTAGTTATGAAACTTTTATAATATCAAAGAACGGTATATGGCTGCTAATAAACTAATAATGTTGTGGTCATGTGAGCTGTGCTTGTCGGGCTGTCGAAAACTGTAAAACAAACGTGAAGAATAATTAAAGTAACAAAACCTCATCGAAGTACGTGCTTTATGAAGTTTCCCTAATCAATTACAAATATCATCTTATGACGTTTTATTAATTTCTTTATAATTATTGTAGACGTGAATTGGGACTTATATAACAAAGCGTCGCAATAGATATAGGTAACCGTTTTTTTTCACAGCAATAATATGTTCTTATTGTTTAATATATTACGCGTACTATAATATGTAATGTATGTACCTATAAATTTATTTATCAACCTAGGTGCATAACATATTTATTTTATTTCTTGATCTTAAAAATGTTATGAAAATTCAATTGTATATGGCTACCTATTCTATCGCATATATCTTCAAATGTTTTAAATTGCGATGACTTGTCCCGTCGTTCTTTCATTGGTGTAATTGAGGCAGGCGAGGTCGGGCGCTGTTTCATCACGATCGTGAATGCAATAAAACTCAAATTTAAACCAACATATTAATATGGAATTGTCGGTACCTAACAAGGATCTTATAAGCTTTTAATCGTTTCACTGTCTATAAATCTTCCTAACTTGAACAGATAGAGAGGCGTCATGTGTTTTGTTGAAAGTACAAAAGTGCTTATGTAAATTATTAGACGAAGAGAGGTAAACAAAGAAAAATCTTTTGTAAAAAGTGCCGAATAAACAATTAGAAAAAATTAAACAAATATTTGTAGGCCACACTTTTCCGTTTATGATTCGAATCTGCGGCCCCATAGTAGGTATCACAGCTTAAGACTTGGCCACTGCGTTGCCAAACTTATTGCTATACATCAAATTTAAAGGCGCATTGCGAATGATTATAAATTATAACATATAATGTGCTGTATCGATCTAATTTCACATTAAGACGACGACCAGTCGTAAACAAAACCGTCGGGAACTCGGGAATGACTCACTTTTTAGGTTGTCAAATAAAATAATTATATACCCAGATATACGGATAATATAATGTGTATAGTGATTAATAGTATAGAATGAAAAGACTTTTTATAATCTAGTGCGATTTACAATACAAGTAAGTTCAACACCAAAGTTGGGAATTGAGATTATACCTACTCAAGCACTAGCTCATAATTTACAAAAATTATTTTATATACATTCAAAAATTTATATGCCACTTAACTAACAAGTTTACTTACTTACTACTACTTACTACTACTACTTACTTTACTTGACTTATTCTATAATTTGACATCCAGGAAGAGATTACCAGCCGAAAATCATAGCAGGCACGCAATGTTGCATTTTTGAGATTTTCATATTTTATCACTGCATCTTATAGAGAACAAGAATATTAAGAAGTTAAGTAAAATAAAGAAGAAGGCATAGATTTGTATCGATATGAATATTATTAAAAATCAATTTTATTTTCAAATTTTATCAGAAACTAGCGATCCGCACGGATGCTTTCTGGATCTCCACGACAGCGCCATCTACCGGGTCCAAATGTGAATATAACCTCGAGACCCATTCAAACACAAAAAATTCATCAAAATCGGTTGGATGGTTTTAAAGTCTATAACGGACATAGAATTTTTTTTGTGTTTTATAAATAGACTAGCTTGCCAGGCAGACGTTGTTCTGCTCTTTTCGACGACCCTTTGTCATGTCCTATTAAAAATCCTTAAATTCGCAAAAAAAATTGTGGGTCACTCATGGGCAAAAAAAATCCTATCTCTCAAGTTGTACCAAACTGCACACGGTGTGCAAATTTGATTAAAATCGGTTGAGTAGTTTAGGAGTCCATCGCGGACAAATAACGTGACACGTAATTTATTTATATTAAGATAGATCATTAAAATCAAAATGTAGGAGCTAAGTCTATATCGTCGTGTAAATTTGTATTTCATGAACGCAATTACAAATTCCACAGTACGTGTTATATCCACTAAGCCGTCTTATAACTGTGCAGTTAAGAAATCACTCTTTATTTTCTTCATAATCTTGCTCGAAGTAAGGTTTCCAAAAGGATGTGAGTTATCCCAAAATTTTCCTAGAGAATTGATTTGTTATTATACCGTTTATTCCAAAAAACCGCTTGCATTAGCGACCGTATACAGTTTAGGTTTACTGTACACATTCAGTAACAAATCATTGTAACTTTTGTCTTACTAGCTGTAGTCACAGAAGGAATAATAGTTCTATATAATAATAGTTCTAATTGTATTTCTAAAATAAAAGTAGCTTAGGTTACCCTTATGATATCTGCTATCTGTCAGTGAAAGTCGCGTCAAAATCGGTCCAGCCAATTCGGAGATTAGCCGGAACAAACAGACCGAGAGACGGACCGACAGACAGACAATAATTTAAAAAAATGTTTTTTTTTTTTGTTATAAGTACCCTATATACTTTCATATGCATTTAGTTAAAATTTATTATTTTGACATTACAAACAATTATCCCAATTTAATTATTTGTATAGATAACAACTCGTTAATCCTTTGTTAACATAGCATAGTATTACGGCTACAATACTGCGTTTAAAATATCCTGCCTGTGCCGGTGTGATATTAAATCATTTATATGACATTGTCACAAACGACTTATATCGGATGTTTATTTAACTCGGAGAAGCATTGATATTATAGTAGCTTTTATCATTTACACAACTCCACCTATTGTTCGTACTTAACGAAGTAGTTTGCTGAAATCTCACTGCGTTGTATTGTTATTCTTGCACAATAGCTTAACACAGCAAGGTGGGTAGTCGAACGTTGATCACGTCGTTTGGAACAAATTTATAATATAAAAAAATCCGAACCTTATTTCGATCATATCCGATGCTTTACTGTAAAGAGGGCGACCATGGGTTACTGTAGTGATATTACCATTGTGTTTGCACCAATACAGCAATATATTTTTCTACCTTGTTGATACTTTTTCTTAATAAAAACTAAATATATCTTCAGAACATTGGAATAGATATCAATAAGTGATTGATCTATACATTTCTAACTTTTTACATGACGTTAAAAATAAAAATGGTCTCGACGACTAGGTGTAGTAGAGTTCGTCCAACGCTGACATTTATCAACGTATATACAATTATACATAGGTAGGGTCTGCGTGCATTGCTACCCTTGACTGAGTGTTCCCCTTGTCGCAGGGGAGGCTACCTTAAGCAATCGATTTCACCCTCGCCTTCCTCGCTTTCGTAGACATAAATATTGACTCAGCGATACTACGGTAGCGGAAAAGAAACTAATTTTGGCAAATACCGATGGGGCCAAAAGTAGAATTTGCCAACTTGATATCGATTAATCATTTAAGTTTCTCTATTGGGAATAAACTGTGCTCGGGACTTTGTTGACGTATACTTCAGGTTGACGTTTACTACCTTTTCAAATATAAAAATTGAACGTAACTGAATAATTACTAATTAAAAAATTTCTTTTTCTTCACGGCCTTAGGCCTTTTTACAAAATTGTCAATTGTGGACTCCAGGAGTACCAGAATGGATAGACGGAAAACAGCAGAAGGTATCTACATCTGCCTTATACTTCTTCTAAACATTATTCTGGCTATTCGTAGACTCTTTTTCTAACTCAAATGTCTTCTCTCGGAGGAGAGCCTATTGTCTTTTATATTCCAACCCACGAAATAAGACGACGCTTTTTAGATCTGCTACCTGGTTATTTTTTAATTAAGAATGTCAAAAGGGTACACGTGATTATACATGGATGTTCTGGCCTACAAACATATATATGTATTTGCCTAGATTAAAAGTTCTGATGCAAATTTGCCTTCACAAGTAACAAAAGTAGATATAGAGGTAGAGACTCGTGAAATCGAGAGAACGTATTATGAAAACTATGTAAAAAAGTGCATCGTATAATAAAAAGTCGTGTTAAAAGGCTAAATCTTTTAGTATAAAAGGGTTTATACAGGTACTTGAAGATTTGGTTTAAAATGGATCCGAATATGTAGATTACGTAATTTTTGAATAGAGTATCTACCCTATTCAAAAATTACGTAATCTACATATTCAAAATTTCTAGTGCTTTTTCTTCGAGAAAAGAAAATCTTCAGGTTGTGTCCCCAACGAAATTACCTATTTCACGAATCTATATTCCCTTACTTAAAAACTATTACACACCATATTCATAAGTACAGTTAAAATAAAAAATAAACTATGAATGTTGTGTACTAAGTACCATATCATCTCTTGAAGAGGCAACTGAAAGAGAGAGAAAGAGATGAGGGAGATGGGCAGCAGAATCTTTCTGGTTAATACCCAAAAAAAAATGTGGTTGCTAACACGTCAAGCGTGGCAACTATGGCAAATATCCCCCTATGAGGATATTTTTCATCCAACACAAGCATTACTACATGCTTCCTGGGCGACACTGGCCACAAAATAATGCTTGTAGACCTAAGTTAAATAAATAAACAATTTTTTATTTTTTGTGAGGCAGTCTGTGGGGCAGCAGTGGACATTTACTTTTATAGAATTAGTTTTTTTTAAATTCAGTATCTTTACAGGCTTTTTTCCCAAAACAATTTAAAAGAAGAATTATATACTTATTCTGTAAACAATGAATACTTCCTTATGTGTAATCTAGAGAAAGCATTTTTTTTTGCTTCCGATTCCG